ATTGTGAACACATCCACATAGACCCATTTATGGTGACACCTCCATATTGTGTACATATCCCCATAGACCCGTGTATGGCGACACCTCCATATTGTGTACACATCCCCATAGACCCATGTATGGTGACACCTCCATATTGTGTACACATCCCCATAGACCCATGCCATGTATGGTGACACCTCCATATTGTGTACACATCCCCATAGACCCGTGTATGGTGACACCTCCATATTGTGTACATTTCCCCATAGACCCATGCATGGTGACACCTCCATATTGTGTACATTTCCCCATAGACCCATGCATGGTGACACCTCCATATTGTGTACATTTCCCCATAGACCCATGCATGGTGACACCTCCATATTGTGTACATTTCCCCATAGACCCATGTATGGTGACGCCTCTATATTGTGTACATATCCCCATAGACCCATGTATGGACCTCCATATTGTGTACATATCCCCATACACCCACGTATGGTGATACCTCCATGTTGTGTACACATCCCCATAGACCCATTTATGGTGACACCTCCATATTGTGTACATATCCCCATACACCCATGTATGGTGACACCTCCATATTGTGAACACATCCACATAGACCCATTTATGGTGACACCTCCATATTGTGTACATATCCCTATAGACCCATGTATGTTGACACCTCCATATTGTGTACATATCCCCATAGATCCATGTATGTTGACACCTCCATATTGTGTACAATTCCCCATAGTCCCGTGTATGGTGACACTTCCATATTGTGTACATATCCCCATAGACCCGTGTATGGTGACTCCTCCATATTGTGTACATTTCCCCATAGACCCATGTATGGTGACGCCTCTATATTGTGTACATATCCCCATAGACCCATGTATGGTGACACCTCCATATTGTGTACATATCCCCATAGACCCATGTATGTTGACACCTCCATATTGTGTACAATTCCCCATAGACCCGTGTATGGTGACACTTCCATATTGTGTACATATCCCCATAGACCCGTGTATGGTGACACCTACATATTGTGTACATTTCCCCATAGACCCGTGTATGGTGACACTTCCATATTGCGTACATATCCCCATAGACCCGTGTATGGTGACACCTACATATTGTGTACATTTCCCCATAGACCCGTGCATGGGGACACCTCCATATTGTGTACATATCCCCATAGGCCCGTGCATGGTGACACCTCCATATTGTGTACATATCCCCATAGACCTGTGTATGATGACACCTCCATATTGTGTACACATCACCATGTATGGTGACGCCTCCATATTGTGTACATATCCCCATAGACCCGTGCATGGTGACACCTCCATATTGTGTACATGTCCCCATAGACCCATGTATGGGGACACCTCCATATTGTGGTCACGTCATCATGGACCCATATATTGTGACACATCCATTTAGTATACACATTCCCGAGGACTAGTGTTTATTGACATCTCCATATTGTGTGCACATCCCCATAGACCCGTGTATGGTGACACTTCCATATTGTGTACATATCCCCATAGACCCATGTATGGTGACACCTCCATATTGTGGTCACGTCATCATGGACCCATATATTGTGACACATCCATTTAGTATACACATTCCCGAGGACTAGTGTTTATTGACATCTCCATATTGTGTGCACATCCCCATAGACCCGTGTATGGTGACACCTCCATATTTTGTACATATCCCCATACACCCATCTACTGTTTAGAGGTTTCCTTACACTCCTACGTCACAGATAACCCCCGATTTTACAGGTTTCGCCTTACAGTAGATGAAGACACTGTATAAAATGCCCAATTGTCATTCCTCACTATTCTAACGGAGTGAAGTAGCTACGTAATACAACTGTCATCTTTAAACTCATTTACTAATGGACTATTTGGTGTTTTAAGATATTAATTAGATGTGTGTTGTTGGGTGTTTTTTTCAAAATATGAATAATTTATTTGAAGATTTTAGTAATATGAATAATGTAAAAATTAAGTTAAAATTAGAAAATGTAGAAATTGTTTCATTTATTTTTTTATATATTGTAATAGTTCCAGAAAAAATCTGAGTTAAGGAAATTACCCTTAACTACGGTACTGTTTTTTTCCATAGAAATCTTAAAGAATTTCCTTAACATGTTAAAAATGTTTATATGTATGAATACAAAGTTATAACTTGTTGAAATATGTGTGGCATTGAAATGAAATTTTAATGAATATTTATATATCCATTGACCTTAAATAAGACCATATTGCCCCTCCTCTATTGGACTTCAATGTCAACAAAACACATTTAAATAAAAGTAGGCTAAAGTCGCTTCGTCAGAGGCGAACAAAGTGGGCACAGTGTAAGCAAACAGATCATAATGAATTGGAGATAGGATTAGGTTTATATAAAGTATACGGTGTATAGTGGTATTATCGGCATTGTTTGCTGTTCAATATACAACCCGGTGTCTTTAACCGCTAATGATAGTCCTATTATACAACATACCTGGTGAATAGCCAAGTTCTCTGTGCGAATATACACAGAAGGTTGTAAGTCAACACATGTATAAGCTCTCTTTATTGGCAAAGCAGTATAAAAGATTCATATTTCACATTTGTAAGCGTAATATATTGACGACAGGATTAATTGCCATTGATGTTTTGGAAACAGTCCAGTATTTTTGTAAGAGATATGTTCATCAGAAATATTACCGAACCTCGCTGAGCATGCGATTTTACGTACATATATGGGGTTTTACTTTCTTTTGAACATGGAGTTATAAGAATTCAAGATACCATACAAAGACGCATAGTCATTGCTTAGAGAGACCGCGGAGTATTAGAGCCATGTAACACTATGATGATTTTAATCAGATTGTACAAAAACAGGCCCTCACAAGAGGCATTATTTCTATTCTTTCACTCATTATTTGCTAAGAGAAAACGTGTGATTTTTATCAAAATCTCCCAAAGCATGTAAACCAGTGGAAGAATCTCGTCTGCCAGTCGTAAAGCCTTTCACGTCATAGTTAATGTATACGGCAGAACGTAAAACACTCCAACTGGATGCAAGTTTCATTTTTTGGGTAGATGGTTGAGACGGGATAGAATACGGAAATGGTCATATTATGATATTTTTTATCGTATACTACACGTTGTTATGATGTAAGTACATCATCAGACGAAGTAGCAATAATACAAACAGAGTTTAAATGAGGCATAGATTTTAATGATGCGTATTGAACTCGGAAGTAACATGGCTGACATGGCGCGCGCCCAGCGGACACTGCGAATGCCGAGCGGATATCGTGATATGGTATAGATACAAAACAGCCCATATCACGGACAAGTATAGGATTAAAATAGCTGTTCACAATAATAAACGTCTGATGCCAAGATAAACCATACATAGGACATCAAGTCGTTAACAATCTCCTTCTTCTGACAAACATCGCTATGACCGTAACACTGTTTAGAGTGGAGGACAATTCCAGGTCAATCTTGGTGACAGATATCTCAATTCCGTCTTTACGTATTGCAGAGTTATCTGCTCTTGTGAGCAGTAATTGATTGTTACGTCATTTGTTTGTGAGAGTAACGTCATCATTTTTTGAGAAAACGACGTAATTTTCTCGCACAAACCAATGACGTAACAATCAATACCTGCTCACAAGAGAAGATAACTCTGCAATACGCAAAGACGGAATAGGTTCTTGCATACAAAATTTAGTATTTGTGTTTTTTCTCTTCTACTTCTTTGGTTAACGTACAGTCCTCCTATAGTGGAATATCGCGTAGTTGACGGAGTATACGAAATTTGTCCCGAACAAAGTGACGCACGATCCCTGAAACTCCTAATAGTAGTACCATAGATGTCAACGCTTCCTCGTTAGGAGGGAGACTTCCTCATTTTGACCTTTACCAATCTTCCTCCGAGCTCCCTCATTCAAGTAAAACCTCACACAAAGTCAAAATCTATATTCTGTGGTAAAATGATCTCCTATAGTTACTGCAGGGTGTGTGTAATGATCTTAACATGTGTGTCTGAATCAAATGAATGTGTGGTTTTTTTAGTTACTTCTTTACATAAAAAGAGAAAGATAAATTGCGCAAAGCAGTCAGTCACGTTTCACGCACTTTCACCCTCATCGAAAATGTGGAATGAGGGAGATCTCTCTCGAAGTTGTAGAGGTTGACACCTATGTACTATACACTCATCAAATACATAAACAGTGTCTGCATCCTTTGGACAGACCCTTCATAAATGACAATATTTACAAACAAAAAATCCTGCATACAGAGACAAGCCAAACATACAATGCAACATTCACCAATGAGCAACCAACTTCAATCAAATATAGAAGTACGTTTAATAGAAAATTATTTCCAAACAAATGAACTACTTTCGGAACACGGTATTTCAATTAAACTGTCCACAAAATTAATCATCCTGGAGAATATCAATAAAATTGGATCTACTTTTGATGGGGCATTTAGTCTAGGTAAACACGACGTGGAAATGTTTCCAAATCGGTCCGGATTTAAGGCGTTTCTGTGTATTAGTTTGACCCAAGTTTTACGAACGTTTCTTACCATTGAGCTTATTCCATCGCCAAGCATCGCTAGCGGTAAGAAAAATGAAGTAATGAATTATTATCTTTTGGACAAAATGTATAATACACAGTGTAATTGACATTCATAAGCAATGCTGTTGAATATTCATCGAGCACTCGCCGAAAGCGACGTCTCGAAACAACTTAAACTAGTGATGCTGATCTACGGAACACAGTCACTAACTCAACATGACTACTATTTCTTCTCTGTTAGTATTAAAATAAAACATACTCTTGACTATGATGATACATTGTCAATCATACATCAGCCTCAATCGGGAACCGTAGGCACTTTCCGTAAACGAGAAATACGGGAATTGCCGACGGTTCCCGATTGTCATTCCCGTCAATAATGACTGTTTACAAATTCCTGAGTCTGTTTGATTTTGGTATTTTAGTACTCATTCTCATTATCTTCTGCTTGGTCATCCAAGGAGTCCAAACCGACCTCTTCGTAATCCTTCTCCAAGGCAGCCATATCCTCACGAGCCTCGGAGAACTCTCCCTCCTCCATACCCTCTCCGACGTACCAGTGGACGAAAGCACGCTTGGCGTACATAAGATCGAACTTGTGGTCAAGACGAGCCCAGGCCTCGGCGATGGCGGTGGTGTTGCTCAACATGCACACTGCCCGTTTGACTTGGGCCAAATCACCTCCTGGCACAATAGCGGGTCGTTGGAAATTGATTCCGACCTTGAAACCAGTTGGACACCAGTCGACGAACTGGATGGTCCTCTTGGTCTTGATGGTGGCGATGGCAGCGTTGACATCCTTGGGCACAACATCTCCTCTGTACAACATGCAGCAGGCCATGTATTTGCCGTGACGGGGATCACATTTCACCATCTGGTTTGTTGTCTCGAAACAGGCGTTGGTGATATCAGAAACGGACAATTGCTCGTGGTAAGCCTTCTCGGCAGATATTATTGGGGCGTATGTGGCCAGGGGGAAATGAATTCGTGGGTAGGGTACCAAGTTGGTCTGGAACTCAGTCAAGTCGACATTTAGGGCACCGTCGAAACGGAGGGAAGCGGTGATGGAGCTGACGATCTGTGCCAATAGCCGATTTAAATTTACGTATGTGGGACGGTCGATGTCCAAGTTACGGCGGCAGATATCGTAGATGGCCTCGTTGTCGACCATGAAGGCGCAGTCAGAGTGCTCAAGGGTGGTGTGGGTAGTCAAAACAGAATTATAGGGCTCAACTACAGCAGTAGATATATGGGGAGCTGGGTAGATAGCGAATTCAAGTTTTGACTTCTTTCCGTAATCTACGCTGAGACGCTCCATGAGGAGGGAGGTAAATCCGGATCCGGTTCCTCCACCGAAACTGTGGAAGATGAGGAATCCCTGGAGACCGGTACACTGGTCAGCCAACTTCCTGATGCGGTCAAGAACTGGGTCGATGAATTCTTTGCCGATAGTGTAGTGCCCACGGGCGTAGTTGTTGGCGGCATCCTCCTTACCGGTGATCAGCTGCTCGGGGTGGAACAGTTGGCGGTAGGTTCCGGTCCTGATTTCATCTGGCAAAAAGAAAAAATAGTTTCAACTACTTGCTGTTTCAGTTATAAGTATAACATGAAAATATGCAGCATTACACTGTTACTCGGAACACTTAATTAAGAAACTAAGGCCACGTGAATAACATCATCGAATAATTCTTCATTAAATGTTTCATATGAGATCAATGAAACGAATCTAAGAATTTTTCGATTTAGCGAGACTCTGGCGAGCTACAATGAAAAATTCGTGACGAGTTTTATTAATTTCATATGAAATGAAAACGAGTGTAAGACCCTATTTATCGCAAAATCAAGATTTGTGGCATTTATTCGTGTAAAACGATAATTTTCATGCAACCTTAAAATGTAAAAAGCCGCCGTTTTGACTCTAGTGCGTAAGTCTGTGACGTCATGTACTTGTCCTATGCGTGACGTCACAATTAAAACTTACAATCAATCACAGGGCTGATAGGTCATATATTACGTGGGTTAATACTCAAAAAAAATATGGCAGATGTATATTGACTGGATAACACAGTGCATTATGTGATAAATGTATTTCATCTCTTACAAGGGGGAGCAATGGCATACACCAACTCAAATATCTGTTACACTGAAGAATGACGACGATATTACACTACCTTGTCGCAACTAACTCAACCTAGCAGCGGGAACAGAAACTCAATATCCTATCGATTTTATTTAACTTTGCTTGTTTTATATATGTTAAATTTTAGATGACCGGACATAAAATTAAAACTTTTTTTTTTTTAATTTCAAATTTAAATGAAAACGAGATCCCAAATATTGCAATGGGTGCAGCAGATTTAATTTGGTCGCTTTAACAAATCTCCAACTGCCCGAAGCTACATTCACCATCTACTTCCCTGGATCATTGACGTTATAGAACATTCCGAAAAAAAGAACTTTCAGACTTCTTTTTACTATTTAGTTATCCTTTTTCACTGACAACACTTTTACGTCTTTACGAAGAATTCTTTGCATGCTATGACGTGCTATTCTTCGAATAATCCTTTGCGTAAGACAAAATGCTAAAAAAGTAGTGCGCGAGAAATATTGAGTATTTTTTTATTCCCAGTTTGTGTAATTTCGTGTTAATGAAGCAATAACTGGGCTTAGGGAAATGACATAAACAAGAGGCATAAATGCATGGTAAGACCCCCTATTACATCTGCGTGTGAATTTATACATACAAATAACATAGAAATTAGAGTAAAAATAGCCATGGGTGAAATGTAAATACTTTTGATAAATAACTGTAGTGTAACCTCGCTGAGCGTTCTACCGAAACCAAGAAAATCTAACTGCCGCGAAAAAAACCGCCCCCTCACCGACAACAGTAGGTTCTAGGTCGACGAAGACAGCCCGGGGCACGTGCTTGCCAGCCTCGGTTTCACTGAAGAAGGTGTTGAATGAGTCCACTTCACACCCTACGGACGTGTCTGAGGGCATCTGGCCATCAGGCTGGATACCGTGCTCCAGACAGTACAACTCCCAACAGGCGTTTCCGATCTGGACTCCAGCCTGTCCGACGTGGATACTGATACATTCCCTCTGGAATGGAGACGCAATGATTGTTTCATGCCAGAACAACAGGGCCTGATAATTTGTTACATCTATACATTTAGACCTAAATTAAGGTGTTCAGAGTTATTTTACACGTTTTAGGGGTTCATATCAATTTTCTGTTGGTGATGGCATTTTAAAGGTGTAACGTTACTTTTCAAGTTCTTCAAGTTCTTAAGGTGTTCTCAAGTCTTTCTCTCTCCAGTATTCTCATACCGACAAACCGTGATACGGCATTTATCAAGCTACCGGTGGGTGGTATAAGGTGGTATATAGATGATAATTGTTGTTTTCTTACATTGACCATCAATGCAAACTGAAAGCAATTTGATGTTTTAAATAAACTCCAATGGCATTAACGAAATTTGATTATGACGTCATGTTTTGTCTATAAATTATATCAATGTGGCGCTTTGCAGTCTGCTTCAAATAACACTGAAACTTTCTGAATCAATCTCTCAAGTGACTCAGATTGTGTGCTGCTACCTCCATATCGTTCATTTGACGATATCTGTATTTTAAGAAATGATAGAGAAAAAAATAGACAAGGAAGTGAGCGATCAGAGAACCGTTTCAATTAAACGATCGACATCTATTTCTATAATGTAAAATGAATAGAAAAAATGAACGTTATTTTGAAATTCGTCATTTTGATCATCTTCGGCGTACTCCAGGGGTTACGCCCACTTTCGCTGATGCATTTTGATATGATCGCAACTACCATATACATATATAAAATAGCGAAAACATAGTAGTATTTCAGGAAATGCATACGATAGGAAACTGGAACTCCGGAATAACTTTACGGTACACAATTAACTCTTGAAAGTGTCAGGTATAAAACCGTTTCTCTGAAATTGTATTCCTGATGTAAATATTTGTACTTAAAAAAGTAAAATTGGTTGAGTATTAACATCTATGTAATTTCTCGAGGAAAATATTCTGAAGAAACTTCCTTTGCATTCAAGATAAAAACGTTCCTTCGATTATTTACATACACGGTAGTCATTTAACTCTACAGGAATGTGTATAAGGTTTCAAATCTTTCTGGAAAACGAATTAAATGACAAATATGTATCAACTCAAATAACTCCAAAATTCATAGGCTGATGAAGATTAAATAAAAATTGAATAATTAAATTAGAGCACACTCACCATATCTTATTGTTGCACAACAGCTGATAATATTAATTAAAAAAACCCAGTATCCAACGTAACCCTCCCGTTTTCAATTTTTCAAGCTGTCTCGAAGACCGGACATTAAACAGTAAATAGCCGGAAGTGGATATTGTCGGGGAAAGACAGCATTTCTACCGTCGTATTGACAACATTTAGACCATTCTAATGTAAGCTCTTAAACAGTTGATTTCAGCAAATGTCGGCGGTTTATACGACAGATTAAGAATTACTTACCAGAAACGAAACAGTTGACATTTATACATATACACTATGCTCTCTCAACTGTTATGTGCATGTGTCACTGTTTTTGTTTTTGTTTTTGTTCTGTTATTTGCACGGTCCGTCTGTCCGTCAGGCAAGCACACAAACATACCCTGTCTCCTGCATACACACACGCAAGCACGCAAGCAGGCAACCACGCATACACTACACAATTGGAGGCCTTAAATGACCTTAGCTGTTAATAGGACGTTAAACAAATTTGTACCAAACCAAACCAAACAATCAGTCTGTGTCGTTCAGAAAACAGAAACAGAAGAAAAAGATGAAGGATTTATAATTGAATATCTCTTGAAATAGAATAATAAACATGTTTAAAAACATTAATAAAAAGGAGAATTCAAATGCTGTTGTTGTTTGTGTTTGTTTGTTTATTTATTATCAAAGTGAGAAATAGAATATATTATCTAATTCATAAAAGTGTTTTGATTGCTATAATACTAAAACACAAAACGCATAAACGGAAGGGATAACAAGGTTAACAAGTAACAACTTTTAAAAAAGATGAACTGAGGCCACAATGACTTCTATTATATGTGATACGCAACCTTTTTTTTCTAAAGAATTCCTATAATATAAAACTTTAATTTTTGTGTATATACATGAAAGTCATAAATAAATGTGTCTATGACATTTCTTAAAAGACATTTCTATAAATATGCACGCATTTTATGAACATTCTAGGGGAAGTAACTCAAAATTTCAATAGCTTCATTTGTAGTATGCTATGCCAGCTCGCTAACGTTCCGCGCAGAGAACGTAAATGAGCGTAACTTACCCCTGGAGTATCGAGGATTATACTATACACAATGTCTTTTTTCTGACATTTAGAGAGCAGTAATCGTTATGATAAATGTCATAGCGTTCGAAGTGTTGTTTGTGCAAATACATGGAGCCGTTTTAAGATGTACGGTACCAAATGACAGAAGGTTCCCAACGAAACTATAGCTTCTAGATGGAATTTTGTAGAAACTAGGAAATTGTGGGGGAAAAAAATCCTAATTCATAGGATCGTTAACAAAAAAAAGTTCCGAATTCTAATTTTGTAGAAACTATGATTGTTAACAAATGACAGAATACATGTTCATGTGCGATCGGGGAATCGATCCCCGGTCGTCTTGGTGAATGACAAGCGTTCTATCCACGGCGCCACCGGACCACCCCTGAATTTTTGTTAAACCATTAGTATTGAATGCTCATCTTGATTTCAACTTTTATCAAAGTACACGCCAAGCCTGGAACACACCTATCCTGAATTTTTGTTTTTGCATTGCATTTATGTTTGGATACAGAAACATCACTCGTCACATCTCGTCAGATTCCGTACCTACATCGGGTACCGAAATCAGCCGAGGTTAGCCGAATGACAGAAATATTCCAGATGATCTGATTGTCCTCTTGATCCTAACAAGTTGGCAATCAGCCATTAAGCTACACATTATGCATCTTTAGCTCATTTAAAGGCTAAACAAGTAAGCTGTTGAAAAAACAGGGCGTGTAACTAATTTTATATTTAAAAAATAATTTCATATGATTTATGTAGGAGAGTGATCTTAACTTAAACAAAGTTTCTATGAAAATTGCCTAAAAGTTTAGGGTAGGCAAAACAATGGGTATATGAATTAAGGGTTATCGGAAAAAAATGTTGTTTGACCTAATATGTGATCTACACAGATCAGATAATACATACAGTACATTATTAAGCTAAAGTAATATTGTCATGACATTAAATTAAACCTCTTGGCTATTCAGCATGAATGTGTTGTTTTTTTTTTTTATCAAATTGTGACCTTGTGGCTTCGAAAGTCATTAGAGTATATTCATTTGATAGTCCGTCATTCCAGCAACTCTACTGACCAAACTTGATTATTTAAAAGTTAACAGTTTTAAGTAGTTGACCCCCGTGACCTTAGTCGAGGTCATTTATTGGAACAAAATCTACATCTTCATCCTATTATGCTTCTTCAAAGTAAACATCAATAGATTCAAGGTTGACAACAAGCCAATCAAAATTTTGATTTAAAAAACGCTCTTGTTATTTAACCTCTCTGACCTTAAAAAATGTGTCAAACTAGGTCATTGATTAAAAAAAAGTTAGGCCTAACCTTTATCCCAGCATATACTATACTGCCCAATTTGGTATGCCATCGGCTGATTCATTAATGACAAAAAGTCATTCAAAGTTTAAACACATTTTACCCCCGATAAGTCATATATTGGAAGAAAAACCTCTTTTGTGATTCAACCCGTTCATTTGAAAATGAGTAAATTTCATTCATTTGAAAAAAACACCTTTATATACATATAATTATTCAGAAATCGCAAAAATTTCACCAATTCCAAAAAATGACCCCACTTGAAAGAACGTCAAGGTTATTCCATTTGAACAAGTCCTATTTGCCAAATATCTAGGCCTATTTATTATATCTACAAAAATATCGTTTAACCATATATATATAGCCAGTATATATATCTACGTGTCTGTTTAATTACATGTTTAAGGTACTGGTCTATTTATAAGATTCTCTGGTCATATCCAAATAAAGTGCTACGTCGGCTAGACACTGTCTTTAATATTTAACTTGTGGTGAGGTCGTACTGTCTAAATATATATATATGGTATATGTATTTAGTTACTTTGTTGGTAAATTTCTCCTGCAGTCTATATACCTGGTAAAATGGCCCGTCTCTAGAATATCTCTCAATCTGAGGGGAGATAAGTTACTAGTAACATGTATTTCGAAATGCTGGACTGCGGTTGACAATATGGAGAACGTGTTCCCAACCTTGACGTAACCAAAACAAATCAAAGTGTTGTCAGATTTCCGGCGATTAAATGATTCCCATTGCCTTATATTTTAACAACCGGCTAACCAGCTCCTCACCAAATCAGGGTGCTTTGTGCGTTTGAAAGTCAATTGCATGTCAAGCGTCTGTTTGAGTACCACACTGATAAAAATATGGCGATTTTCAGATTGTTATATCGGAAAAGGCACATACTCTTCGTGTGCTTATGTGCGTCTACGTTTTGGATTGGTTACCTGTTTCTGTCACTTCCAAACAACTCGAGTAAGTTGATGTATTGGTATATGGCAATCTTATTTTGCATGTTTGATAAATGCATTTCGTTTAGACGTAAACATTGCATGGAAGAAATATGTCATAACAGTCATTACTAACATCAGATAATTAGCGGCCGAATACACTACCCCGGCAACCTTATACAACGGTGTGTATATATCTATATGTAAATTTTATGTTAACGTTGGCGTTATCAATGCAATGACAAGTTCTCTATTCAGTCCGAATGAATTGTGCTGAAATCAATGCTAAAAACAAACCGTTATGATCATATTGTTATTTCGTACATCGCCATATGCAATTGCGTCTGGTTTGTTGAGATAAAAAAAAAGATTGTTATATAGAAGGCCTAGGGCCAAGGGGGAGTATTTGTAATTTGATAAGATAGCTATTTATCACTCTTATATAGAAGAGTTTAACAATGTAGCTATTGTTGACTACTGCCTATAGTAGCAACATTTCATTGCAACTTAATTGGCTACATATATATATATTCACCTCATAACATGTGGGGGTTTTATGCAGCCAATATGTTAACTTAACTAATAATTATTTCCCCATACACACTGTATACAATGACATTTGCATAGCTGTATAGCTGTTGAGTTAGCTTACACAAAATTTGGTTATATATCCAAGGAAATTTGCATAGACATTTCAATGGCTAACAATTCATGCAAATACTCTGAATAATATCACCAATGTATTGTATAGCTGTTGAGTTGGCTAACACAAATTTGGATGATATTGGGTAAGACTCTTTCCAAATTTAAAAGCCAGTCACAGGTGTCTGACATCACCAGTGCTGTAACATTATGGTGGTAAATCTGACTGGTGGCCTGAAGCATAGGGCTCCTGATAGGATTTATTATTCAACATTAATATCCAAGTTTATATCTTCAGAGCTTTCACTTAATAAATAACACTGAAAAGAAGACAATTTACGCTAATCGAGGAAGTGATATAAGTCTATTTGTGAATTCCTTTTACTTTCTGAGACTGGCTTGCACTTGTAACTTATATTAGGGTCATGTATACATATATTGTCTAGTCATAGGTTTCCGCACAAAATATATATTTCCATGAAGCCATTTTATCAAGCTATATCTCGTTACTATGAGACCTGCTGGACACTACACAAGGAAACTATGACCATGGCATGCGCAGTCATCCTTAATTTCAACATTTTTCTACCGATATTAGTACGAAACCGTGGCTGCTTCTTAAGTGCGCTGAAACCGATAGCACAAGGATATATTTAAAGATTTTACTTCACATATACCTTGACTTTTCTATGCATAAAATGCATATAGGGGTACAGTTTCACTTTTGTGATTGCAAATCGAGAGATCTAATTTTTATTTACGGATACATTTCACACCAGGCCTGGAACATGTGACAGATCAAAAGCTATAAAAACTTCAAAACAGTAAAAAAAAGTTCAACCGGTTTAATATTTAATAAAAGTGAAATCAAGAATGAATACCGTAGATGAAATGCATTCAACCATAACAAATTATAAAGCCTAAATAATTTATTTAGTCCAACGACAACCCTCAGTCCTGCTCTAATTTTTGTACAATAAGCCTTTTAAAGACATTTTCGAAGAAGCACTGGTGAAGTCAAGATAAAATAAAAATTATTCCCCCCCCCCCCAAAAAAAACCCCCAATTGTGATCTACCTGCCTTATATTTTTCAAATATGTTATAAGGAAAGTCTGAAACACATTTTTTCTTCTGATTGGCCTTGAAAATGATTCTCACAAATATGAAACAGTCTTGAAAAGTTGACCATTAATTCTCAACCTAATTCTTGCTGTGTGTTGACAAGTGTTGTGGTCTTGCTCCAAATGTGACTTTTACTTTCTTTGTTGTTATTGGGTTAAAAGGATGACAATTTGTGATTTCTGAACAATGTCCTAGTACAAACTTTGTTTTCTGTGTTTTGTACATTCTTAAAACCAATAATAAATGTTATAGCTTTTCTGTGCATATTCAAGGCAATTGCAAGGGTGCAAGAATGTCAGGGTTTCCCAATTAAGCTGGCTTCGGCTAGAGGGAATTCCCTTACACTGAGCACTAGTATAGCCAGAGTCAGGTGCGCATGTCCGATTGGAGAGGTTGGGTCACTGGTTCAATCCCCACAAAATATCACATATTCTTTTCACTACTTCCAACTGTTACATATTGGTGCCATTGCATTGACCCTCTTTGATAAATTGGAGAACTTGGCCTGGGCAAAAGTTTGTAGTTTCGCTACTCACATTTTTTACATTGGGTAGGTACAATTGTTGGTATATACTATTTTATTATCATTTTTAGAAATCTTATAATTCTATATAAGACCTCATAAGTTTAAGTGATTTTTCTGCTATAAAAAGAAAAGAAAAAAAAAGCACCAAAGAGTCCAAAATCATATATAGTTTGAGTAGATGTCAGTTTAAGTGAGTGAGTCAGGTATCTGCTATCAAACATCTTTTTAAGGATAGCCTGAATGTCTATAGGACCTATTTATATGTGACAGATAATTTGAAAAGCAGTTATCATTTTATGTGTCATATGCTAATATAAATTGCTTGTTTATCTTTCTCTGCAGGTAAGACTGAAAAGTCACCAAAGCCTGGTCTGTCTTCAAAATCTCTTGATGAAAGTCTTTCCCGCACAAAATTCTCGTCTCCACCTGACACTGATAACGCGGAGAAGAAAGATGCATCGAAAGACAAACCACAAATCGCTGCTTCCTTACATCAGTCAGTCATCGAACCACCAAAGCTGGAAGTTGAAAAACCAAGTGAAAAAGAGAAAGAGTCGCCAGATAAAAAAGTGATAAGGCCGCCTGTCCCTGATATCATTCCACCCGAAAAGCTTCATAATGTGACTGAAAAGAAAACAGTAAATGAAACACAGACAAAAAAGCAGGAAGGAATGTTTGAACATTTTGGTGAAAAATTAAAAAATAAAACAATAGAAGTTGGACAACAAGTAAAGAATAAAACACTTGAAAAGTTGTCAGATTTAGGGGTGATAAAAAGCCTCAAAGTTCCTAAATATTTACACATTCCAGCTCCATGGTCGTTAAATCTCTCATTAGAAGACATTGGGAATGTCATGAAAGATACACAGTATTTAAATAAGGAAGACAAGATTGACATTAATTATCCTAAATTATTATCAACGAAACAAAACATAACGGAAGGTAATATTACAATAGCGTTGAGGAAAGTGACAATGGCCAATCGAGTGGGCTTCTGCGATTGTGTTGACTACGATTGTATGTGTTGTGCTCGTGTGACAGCCAAAAGGATGCCATTTAACAGAACAGCATGTTCGAACATCACCTACCTATCCAAGTCTCAGGTAAACTTAATAATAATAATAGATAATAATTCGAGGTTCCTATATACAGCTTTATCACAACCTAGTTCATAGGTTGTCTCAAAGCGGTTCACAAATTATTATCCGTGGTTATAGGACCTTTGCAACCAGCCAATATCGTTCTTAACTCCCTGGGGAGCATATATATACACAGCCGGTGCTGCCATTTCGGCGCTCACAGCTAGCATTCTACAATTTTAGCACTGCCCAACAACATACTCATTCACAGCTGAGTAGACTGGAACAATCAGAGTAAAGTATCTTGCTCAAAGATACAACACAGTGCCGTGCCGTGCCGTGACTCGAACCTGCAACCCTTCGGTCACGAGCCCGTCGTCCTACCACTATAGCCTCCTGAAAACGTTTAGCTTAGATGTTTTAACTCACAATTAGGTTAATTAGCATCTCAGGGCAAATAGGAGATGTAGTAATCTTTCACCTAATGGGAGATTCTTTTGTTGTCAAATCGAGAATCTTTTCCTGGGGTTGAGATCGATTTTATCCCCCCCCCCCCCCTCTCCCCAAAGGGGATGAATAAATCTTTTTCTTAGTTGGCCCTGTCATAATAGATACAATGTATAATGTTATGACATGATAGCTATAGGCTTAATGCAATGATGGGACGTTAAATGTATTGATGACATGACATACATTGTTATGTGTGGGGAATCCCCTTGTCTCAACCCCTCACCCAAGGATTTCTCTTAACATGGACAGGAGAATTTACTTAAGTACATTTTTTTTCGGTGTGAGATATCCATTTCCCCGTTACCACTATATGTTTCCTCACTCCCAAATCATTGGAGTAACCTGCTTGGATGTGGTTATCATTTTTGGTTACCCCCTATAGCTAGTGGGTAACGTACTGGACATTATTTCATTGGTCAATCTTCAAATCATGATGACATGTAACAATGCTTTGCGACATCATCGTCCATTGTGACGTCATAGTCCCTGGCAATTGTTTCCTCAATCGAAAACGTGAATAACGTATACCAAACAGAAACATGTTTTTTAGGTCACCTGAGACAGTCTCAAGTGACCTATTGCGATCGCCTATTGTCTGTCGTCGTCCGTCGTGCGTCCGTAAACAATTTACATTTTCGACTTCTTCTCCAAAACCCCTGAACCAATTTCAATGAAATTTTGCAGGGACCTTCCATGGACAAAGGTCAACAAAAGTAGTGGCCGGTTTAGTCCCAAGCCCCCAGGGGCCTGAGGGGCGGGGCCAAAAAGGGTCAAATTGACTAAAATTTCAAAAATCTTCTTCTCCAAAACCCCTGAACCAATTTCAATGAAATTTTGCAGGGACCTTCCATGGACAAAGGTCAACAAAA